AATCTGTAGTCGGTCTACACGCTTTATTTTACTGCCATACTGTGAATGGTCTTATGTACCTATATATATACATCTAAGATCATGAATTCATGGTCATTGGCCGTACTAAATAAATGACATTTTCGCACACACTTATAATAACGTAACTTAAATAAAAAAAAAAATCTCTGTGTAATGAGAACATAAATGAAATACAATTAATTCTACGACAGTAAAGCACATTAACCCGAACATACCTTTCATCTGGGTAAATTCTACAAAAGAGAACTGCAACAGACTGTCTTAAGATCTCAAAATCAGCTATATAATTCTAAGTCCCCCAAATTTACCAAGTTTCGTGTTAGCAAACCCGGCTAAAGCAATAGATTTTATAACTAAACAGCGTCAGGACCAGTTATAGTGTTTGAGCCATTTGAAACGTCATCTTTAGACTCATCATTTGTTAAAGGGTTTGTGATTGCTTTCTGTTGGGAAATTTCTGTTGCTTTCTGGCTCTTACCCCAAATTACCAAATATAATCCAATAACGATGACTGTGGCACCACATACCCTGCAATATCAATGATATTTCGACCCAATCAGAAAAAAAAAAAATAATTATATAAGTCTTTTTAGTTTTTTTACTAACTAGCTACTCAAATAAAGTTACGCACTTTCCGATTGTCATTTGCTCGGCAAAAATGAAGGAGCTCAAAATTGCGACGATAATCATGCTCAACGGATTGAATGCAGTCACGAAAACCGGTCCTTTTTCTTTCATTATCACCCCTGATAAATAGTAATTATCATAATAGATAACAAACAAAGATTTCGTTCCATCTAATTGGAAATTTAAATCATCTTTTTATGCATGAAAGTAACTTATCAATTAATAAATATATTATTTTAATTAAGAATCTTACCCCATAGACGTATGCTAAGAGTTTGGCGTCCCATCCAAAAGCCCACACCGAAACATTTCCTCTTTCGGCCAAGAATGTGAGAATAGTTCCAAGAAAGGCTCCAATAGAACACACCATAGCCGTTAGAGAAAGCCCGGCTGAGTATGACTTCAATGTGATTGCCTGTCGGTTAAAAATATTCCCCCTTTTAAGTAAAACCACAAATTCGAAAATAACAAGTAAATGGAAATTTTGTAATATTGTAGATACAAAATATACCTGAAGAGTGTAGAAGGCGGAATAACCAATACAACCAATAGAAATCATGAGAGCTCCCTTAACGGGATTTTCCTTATCATTAGGATTTGCGGAAGCTTGATTATCGTGTGATGCATGTGTCCATGGCAATCCAATTATAGGACCACTAATTAAAGTCATAATCATGGCTCCTCCAACAGTAACCAAAGTCCCCATAATCTTTGCATTACTGCGCAAGCTTTTGAAGTTCACATTTTCAATCCTGCAAAATAATTAATAATATTATATGAAAATAAAGAATGATTTATGTTTTAATGTATGAAATTATTTTATGGGATGGATTAGAGGATAAGGACCTGAGAATCCAAGCCAATACGAAAGTAATAGCTGGAATGAGATTGCACAGTGCTGCAGCAAATGTGGCCGATGAATATTTCATGCCGGCATAGAACATGTTCTGACCGATAACCGGACTGTTAATTACAGAAGTCGACAGTTTGATATTATTACACATGAAATAAAAACAAACAATTCTAATTAATTATAAGTTGTAAGTGATTACTTACTCAAGTAAGGCAAGCAGCAATATCTTCCAGAAGACACTCCACGTCATTGTTGGCCTTGTTTTCCTGTTGAATTCGGCATAACATTTTAGAATCAGCAAGTAAAATAAAATATAACGAAAAGATAAGTATATGGTGTATTTGTAATTAATGAATATTATTATAAGATGATGGACCTATCGAAAATGATGGCAAAAGGAATGAAAATGGCAGCCGCAATTGCATTTCTGTAGAGCAGCTTTTGCAACTATACCAAAACCAGCAGACCCAAATTGCAAGAAAATGACTCCCACATAAGGCCTTAATTTCTGCACAATCTTTGAGTCCATCACCATACTTAAATTATACACGTGTTTTTTTTTTTTTTTTTTTCTAACTTGTGTGTTATTTTCACGTTAGCTGGAGAGATTGCAGCTGTAAGTAATTGAAGTTTAAGTTGTAAGTGTGGAGTTGCATGGATGAGTTGTTGTGCTTTATATACAAAGTCTGGAAAAGTGGGATTGCCTTCATATGCATGACTTTTCAAAGTTGGTTTTGGAGACCAATTAATATGTTAAAAGCAATCAAGTGTGTGTTACACGTCAGATCTCGGTTCATCTTTTATTCTGTATATTATATTTGTGGTTGTTTTTATTTTTGTCATTATTTGTTTAATTATTTTTATTTTGGGTCTCTTGGTCAAATGGTTAATTATATAAATTGGCCATCAGGTATGACCACTACAGGCCCGGAAATATTGGAATCACATCTGAGAATATTATCAACTGTAACAAGAAATTAACGAATCGATCCTAAACTTAATAATTAGAAAGTAGTTATGTTTTATTATTATTATTATTATTATTATTATTATTATTATTATTATTATTATTATTATTTGTGTGCTAAAATTGTGCTCATGTGTAAATGAAAATTAGTGGAGCAAAAGCCAAGGGTTCAACAATTATTGTAATTGAAAATGTGTAAAATCATGTCAAAAATTTTGAACTTTACAATGCATTGATGATTAATTAAATGGAAGGAAAAAAATATAATTACTACATATGTGTAATCGAAAAAGAAAAAAAAAAAAGATTTTTATTAAAAAAGAATGCCTACAATTATATAGATATAGATTCAAGTTATATATATTCCCTTTATTTTGGCATTTTATTTAAACATCTAACTATTTAGTCTCAATAGTTCGAAAGTTACCAATAACACAGGTGCTTACGATTTAGCTGAGGAAAAACTAACTTCGTCCTCAGAAGTCAGATCTTTTCAACCTTTGAACTAGTGAAAAAATTAAATATGCAAATTATAATTATGTTAACTTTTGTCTTTCTCTAGGAAAAAAAAAAAAAAAGCACTTTTGCCTTCTAGTCGCCTGGGCTATTAACATTGACTAGGTGAGCTAGTCGGTTGCTAGATGGTCCATGCGGCTACGAAGTTAGTCACACTTAAGCTGATGTGGCGGCAATAGAGGCCGTCCAGACATTCCTCATACGTTCATATAATTTTTTTACATTTTTTACAAATTATTTTTAAAATAAGATAAATAAATTTTAATCTTTATACATGAAATATATGTTGGATTTAACCTTATGCGAAAACCGCTTTATCCCAAGAGTATTCATATCGAATAATTGAGAACCAATTTGAATAGCGGAAGCGTACTTGAATTCATTGTTTTGAGAATTCTTATGTTCTTCTGTTTTCTGGACTGATGAGGACTTCTAAACGATCTTGTTTGAATGGTATGGGCTTCCAAATGATCAAAACCTTATAGCAGATTGTGTATACTGTATATAGTATGTTCTAGATGTATATTCATATGTATATTCTTGAAATGAAGAGGATAATGCTTTTAAAGGGAGAAAACATCTCTTCGGGATCTGCTCGTACCTTTTCGTCGTTGGGGTCATAACCGAATAAATAAGAATTATTGATTTTCAGTTCGGTCCCTCAACAAACAGAAAATCTCATAATGATATCTATACTTTTAAATCTATAACAATTTGATACTCTATTTATTCAAAATCATAAATTTAGTAGATCACTTTAATTGAATTATATTATGACAACTATACACATCTATTACTATATAATAGAGAGAAGAAAAAATGTTTGAAAAATTATTTCATTTTACCGCTCAAATCACTTTTTTCCCTCTAATATTTTGTTTGAAATTTTTTCGAAAGTTTGAATTTTTTTCATTCCGAAATTCAGTATGTTTTGGATGAGTTCAATATGTTTTGAATGAGATTCCTTCCATATTGGATAAATTCAAGTTCTTTTTCATTTAGAAAATATATTTTTATTTTAGCAATATATTTGACTTCTTTTTTTTTAACCGATTATGTTGGTCTTCTGTTTAAAATTGATTTTTTTTTTTAATTAAAGAATGTACCAGTTTCCTAAACATGATAAAAACATATCACTTCAAATATTTTTTTAAAATTGAGGATTCCAACTACTATTATTAATGTGATTAGTACTAACTAATTTTGTTAAATAATATCTTCATTGATTCACCCCAACACGTTTGATAGGTCGGTTCATGAGTCAGTTATGATGCATAAAATCACACAATAGTGACTATTTAATATAAAACTATTTAGAATATAACAATTAAAAAATTGAGGATTCCATATAATGTAGGCTCAAAAGCTACGAATTGATTTATTCCAAAAATTGAGGATTTCATATACTACAAATTGATTTATTCTACAAATAATTCACAACTTTACGGTTTAAATAATACAATATGTACATCATTTCCCTTAAATATTTGATCAACCAACACGATTTTGATGATAATTTTTCAAATTGATCTGTATTCCTTTTGAATATCAGAAAGATTATTGAACAAATATTAGTTAATAAAATTTAAAAATTATAATTTAATTTTAGAGAATTAGTTGATAAATTTGAACAATAAGGTAACCGAAAAAAAATCTAAAAAATTGAGAGATAATATATATAAAGAATTTATTGTGTAGTCTAAATTTGGTTTCCAAATTTAAAAGTCAAATAAGGTATTCTTAATAACTTAAGGGTTAGTATTAACTTGGACGTAAATAGAATAATCAATTATTTATAGTTTAATAAATTATTCAACTACTTAATTTTTTTATTTAGATAGTTTATACAAAAATAAATTCAATTTAATTAATTAAATAATATAGTTTTATAACTGTATTTATTATTCACATAGATTTTTAAATATTCATAACATTTTATCAACATTATTATTTTATGGAATTACATTGTAGTTAAATTGAATTTCTGAATGAAAATTTTAAAATGACACTTAATTTGAAATTATATTGTAATTTATTATTAGTTACGTCCACCGTAGGGGTTGTGTACTAATTTTAAATAGACATGTTTTTTATAATTTTGCACAATTTAAATTTCATATAACATTTTCAATAAATTTAATATAGGTGAATTGTATTACAATTGATTCCATATTTTTAAGTTATAAATATTATTTAATGTGTATTTTTAATTTATAAATATTAATAAATATCTCCTACCCCTGCATAGCACATGATTCGTATTAGTTAAAGAAAATAGAACCAAAATAAATAAATATTTAATTATTTATATAAGAACTAGAAATGTGTTACTATTTATATAAGAACTAGAAAGGTGTTACTATATGGTATCTAATCTCCCTAATAAATATCTCCTACCCGTGCATAGCACGGGATTCGTACTAGTTTAATTTATATATGTTGTCCAACATAAATATTTCTAACAATATACCTTAATTATAAAATTAGAAAAAATCTTATAAAACTAATATAATAGTTATAAAAATATTGTATTTAACTATGTTAATTAATATAAAATCTTAAAATACAAAGTTTATGGTACTCAAGCTCAACTACAACCACTACTACAAGAAAATGATGAAATTCCAACGGAAATATATTTCAATAGAATTCCAACGGCAATTCCAATGGATATTTCAATGCTATTATTTTCGTTGGAATAATTTCAACGGAAATTCCAACAAAAATATTCCGTTAGAATGAATTTTTTCATTGGAATTTCTGTTGGATTTTTACGATTCCAACGGTAGATTTTCCAACGGTGGTGGAAATAAAAATTCCAACGGAAATTGCATATTCCAATGGAAATTTCTACGGTGAAAAGCCGTTGGAATCATCAAATTCCATCTAAAATTTCAATAAAAAATACATTCCAACGGAATATTTTTGTCGACATAAATATTTTTGTAACAACATTATAAAATTTCTAACGGAAGTTATACTATTAGAATATATGTTGAAATTTCTATAAGAATATATTACCATAAAATTTTCCGTTGGAATATAACAATTTTTTTACAGTGCACACACTCAAATGCGTAGCTACGACAGACTGGTCACTCCACTTTCGTTTTCGAATCCAAGAATTTTAGTTGCAGACCAAATATATTTCTTTGAAACAAGAAATATGTTTTGTCCAAAAGGACCAAAACCACAAAATTCTTAAATGCCAAAACGTAATGCGCTCAAAACTGACTATCTATTTATTGTAATTTAATATTGGGACCCTATTCGAAATTGTCATAATTTTGTAATTACCTGTGTGTGCTAAGAAAACATAATCATAATTTCCACATAGAAACTAAATTTATTTTAATATCCAAAAGCCCAACAAAATATCTTTTTATAGCATAACATTGACCAAATGTATAGCTATTATAAATTAAACATTGTTTTACAGCAGACCATTGACCGAATGTATAGCTATTATGACTTTTCGGTTTGGTGTGACCAACGAGTAAAAACAACATACTTTATTGAAGATTCTACTTATTTGTTGACTGTGACTTTGGTACTGACTTTTCCTGCAGTTTTTGACCAATCCCAAAACAATGTTGCACACCCTCAATCTATATATATATAATAAGAATTAACATTTTTCAAAAATAGTAAACAAAAAAATAGAGAATATTAATTGCATTCTATTTTTTGTATATTTTTTAATTTTTTTAATAAAAAATCAACTAGCATTTAATGCTAGCATAAATCATGGGATTTGTTATATAGATGCATATTTAAATTTCAAACTTCAAACAAAACATGCCTGAATATATTTTGAATTTTTTAGGGGAAAAATTTAACAAACACGTTAAAGATTTCATACAATACATATATTTATATATATTATCTTAACATATAGGTTAATTAGTTTCATAGCTAAACAATATATATTTAAACAATATATAAACAAATATAATAATTTGTCGTACAATACAGACAAATATATAAACAATATATTTATATACAAATATAATAAACAAATATAATAAACAATACAAACAATATATAAACAA